GGAGGGGAAAAAAAAAAAAAAAAAAAAAAAATCCATCAACTCCACTCAGCTCTCTGCCATCGTCGTCGTCGCATCGAGTCCCCCCATCATCGTTAACGAGGGGGCGGTGGTGGCGGGTGGCGGTGGCCGCGGCGGCGTAGAGGCGACGGGAGGATGGATAGCGCAGCTACGGGGAGAAACGACAGCTTATCATTGCCGGCGGTGGCATGTTGCGAGCCTGATAAGAGGCAATGTTGGTGGCGGAGGGGGTGGGTGGGGGGTAGAGACAGGGAGCGATAGAGTGTGTGCGTGCGGGAGCGAGGAGGGCTGGGCAGGGGGAGGGGGATGAGACGAATGTGGCAACTTTTTCGTTTTCGGTTGTAAATTTGTCTAGGTGTTGCGGGGCGAGCGGCGCGCGTACTTACGTAAGGGCCTCGGTCTTCGTCGTTTCATAATGGCGCTCAGTCGGGGAAGTCGTCGTCAGGGACGTGGTATATTGGGTCGCGGAGGGCCATGAGCTGCCGGCTGTATAAATATAATTGCGCCTCGGTCGTTGTCGACAGTGCCGGCGGTCGGTGACGGATGCCACGGCTAATAATTAGCCGAGGTGGGTTGCAAGTCCTAGGGATTTTCGATAACGACGGCAGCCAATACGGATGGTTAATCGGAGAAAGGTCCCCGCTCTCAGGGAAGCTGTTCGATCGAGAGACGGTGGATACCCACCCAGTGGGAGAACTCGAGTCGGGTCCCGCAATCGCTTTAGTAGGAGAGACCATAGGGAAAGCTAGGTAATGCATAATCGAGGATCGTTACTGGCGGGAATGTTCGCGAGGTAAAAGCGAACGATTACGTCGGACTGCTTAAGATTTTCTCGCTCCAACGTCTTATACTAGCTAATCGATGTTTTATTTGCGGGATTACGTTAACCGAGGCAAATAAAAATGAAAAACATAACTACACTGTCAGTGAATTGCCTTCTATTTTTCGGCCGTACTGACTTTCTTCCGTATTACATAAGTTTTCCAGTCATTGGCTAATATGACATTAAACACATGAATGTGTGGCAAACGTCGATTACGC